AAGAATTGAAAAAAAAAAAAAAAAAAAAAAAACTCAACGAACCTGCCGATTAAGAGTAGTAGGATCATGTCGAGCCCAAAACGCATCAAGCAGAGACTCGTAACTGCACTCTTTGGGATCATACTGAACCCGAACGACCTCAGAGTGATTGCTCTGCCCCGAACAAACATCCTCATAAGTCGGATTATGAATATGCCCTTGAGTGTAACCGACCTCCGTTTTGGTCAAACCGGGCACTCGTTGAAACGCCAATTCGACACCCCAAAAGCAGCCCGCCCCAAATTGGGCAAACTGCTGGCCCGGCGCCGGAATGTCATCGTCCGGACCTTGTGCAAACGCCAACGACTCCGGCGAGGCCTCGGTGGCTCTGGACCCGAATCCGAGCTTGTTCCAGAGATTCATGGACGGCCCTTTTGAAGAAATGGGTCGGTAAGTTCTGGGGAAAGGAGAGGGGGGTTTGATTGTGAAATTGGATTGAGGGAAGGAGGGTTTGGAGGAATTTGAAGTGGATTTTGAGAGAGAAGAGGAAATGAGAAGTAGCAGAAGAGAGACAGTAGAAGAATAAGAGGGTATAGCCCAGTTTTTTAGCATCGCGTCAAGAGAAAGGACGGGACCAAAACGTGTTGGAATATTAAATCTTGTTCCCCAAGGGATGGCCCTCTTGATACGAAATCGTTACGAATTGGGATTGGCACTTTGAGGGAAGCTTCTTTTCTGTTTTTTTTTAGTGTTAATTTGCTTAAAAAACATTTAAAATATTCTTGAAACTTCTAAATTTGGATTGACATTAAATTTGTTTAAGAAGTTAAAAAATGCATCTACAAACAAACTATTGCTAATATTAGACTTAAAAAGTAATCCTAAGCTTTAAAATTATATATGTATAATTAAAGTTGATAATTAACAATCAAATTCAAATCTATATATTCAGATCTCAGACTTCATATATACTTAAACTAGTTTGGACTTCATATATACTTAAACTAGTTTGCGTTTAATAAATACTCATTTAAACTAAGAATAAATTTAGAAGTATAATAATAATAAATGGATAATAAGTTTTAACCTTCCATTTCTTACCTCAGACAAACTAAAGAAAGTTTAGATGTCTACCACTATAAGTTTTCATATTTTCGTGTGTTTAAATTAATTAATGTTTTCAAATAAAATCTAAGAGATAATTTAAATTAATACTAATAAAACCTAAAATTTATAGGTATAAATTGATTAAAGGTTGGACTTCTCTGCACACACGGCGTACTACGAAGGCATTCTCTTCAATGAACCATAAATTTAGGAGTAGAAGTGAACTCACTCAATTTCTAAAGCAGACGAGACTGGTCGGACTTGAGCAGCTGCCACATACAGACTACAGTTCTTTTCAAAGCAGCCAGGGCCTGGAAGACATGGACATGGCTGATGGGAGATGGATGCTGGTTCCAAAAAATTGATGGCGCGCTGCATGTCCATGTGGGAGGTTCTGAGCAATGGGCTTTACAAGGTTTTGTCCACAGAGCCACTGTCAATTCTGGGAGCACAAGAATCACCATTACCAGTCTGCACAGCTTGGGAATGGACGAGAAAACAGAGCCTGCAGAAGAGCTTGTGGATGAACAAAATCCATAGAAATGTAAAGAGAGCAAATTCAACGATTTTCTCAAATTTCTCTTCAGCAATGATCTTGCAGAAGGAAAGAGCTTCATCAACACAATCAAACTCCAGGAATAAAGCTCAGGTTATAGCTAGACTGATGTTTCAATCTAGTTTTTCTAATCATGAAGGTAATGATACTTACAATAAAATTAGCCTGCATAACTTAACGTTTATGAATTGTAGATTTATTTGTAATGGCATACACTTATAGACAGTTCAAATGAAATATTCTAAACAAGATGATAAATGAAAATTCGAATTTCGAAAGAACAAAAAAGAAATATAGATTTCTTACATATAAAAAATGTACAGCAATAATTTCAGATGAGTTAATCTATATCATAAATGTAACCCAAAGTGCGCACAGTATTGATTATTTCACTCACTTCAATCGAGTACTAAGCAGAAATAAGGTTGATTTTGAATTCAAATCCAAACAAACAATAATTTCATTAAAAAAACAAGTCTACAAGCATCAACAGCATTGAATCCATATTTTCCTCTTATATTTAGTAATGATATGTGATAGCATTTGAGAATTTCTTCAATATGATTACATGTATGGATTATATAATTTTATTGTAAGTAAACGAATGTAAAATTTAGACAAAGTCAGATTCGAGAAAAGTCAAGTTGATTACCAATCGATGTGCTCGGCCTTCAGTCAGGTCATTCATCAAACAGATTTGTTCCAATTCGCAAGCCGATTCTTCTTGCTTCGGCTACATTTTCTCCCTGCCGTTTCCAGCGTACCGCGCGCACCAACACACATTTCAAAGTCAGATTCGAGAAAAGTCAAAGTTAATTACCAATCGATGTGCTCGGCCTTCAGTCAGGTCATTCATCAAACAGATTTGTTCCAATTCACAAGCCGATTCTTCTTGCTTCGGCTACATTTTCTCCCTGCCGTTTCCTGCATACAACGCGCACCATCACACATTTCAGTCTCGCTTCTCCGCCTCTCCGCCTCTCCGCCTCTCCATTTCCTTCTCATCTCATCGCGAAACAGAACTTGAAAGAAACAGAAAAAATGCACCGATCGGTGAGCTGGAACCGATTCTCCGATGAATACTACTCGTCCTCCTCCCCGTTGCCGGCGCTGTCATCGACGCCAGGCCAGGCGTTGCGATTATCATTTGACGGAAATGAGCAGCCGACGAGTTATCCAGCGGATGAGATAGTGAAGCGAGAGAAGGCGCGAGTCAAGTTCGCCGCAACTGCTGTTCATGTGATTCCTCTCGTTTTGGTTCTCTGCGCCATTCTTCTGTGGTTCTTCTCCAATCCAGGTAAGAGAAGATCGTAACGTAACGCAGGTAGATTTCGAATTCTCCTTCTTCGAATCTTTCATTCTTTCCCGCCATTGGTTTTTCCGGGAAAATGAAATAAAATTTCCCTGTTCCGAAACTGAGAGTTTTCCGCTAATCCAACAAATTAATCTCCAAATTTCATTTTTTTTTTCTTTTATCTAAAAAAATTAAACTTAAAAATTTATATAATAATTTTAAATTTAAAACACTCCCATAACATTCCTACATTAAAAAAAGATATTTTAAACTTTTAGAAAAAAATTTAAAAAATAAACTAATTAAAAACTGATTTTCAAAAATATTTTAAAATTTTTGTTAATATTCTTAAATTCATTTAAAATCTTTAAAAATACCTTCAGTTCTTTTTAAATATTTTTATATTTGATACATAAATTAAAACTTTCAAAATAATATTAATATCTTAAAATTTTAAAATTTTAAAATGTGCATATATTTTTATTTGTTGTGTTATTTATTTTTAGCAATGTTTCAAAATTTCAATAAAATAAATAAATTAATAATAACTATTGATTTTTAATTCTTAGAATTTGTCTCCAGCAATTCAATTTCTTATAGTGAATTTCATATTTATTAACTAAATTTCAAAAAATATTTTTTTTTTTAAAATTGACTTAGATTTTTTTTAAATATGATAAAAAAAATTATTAATATTTCATTCATATAAATTAGGGCAATGTATATTTTAATTTAATTATTATTATTGTAATTGGCTTCTTTTTTTTTAATGTGCAGAAATAGATGTGGGGATGAGATGGGATCCAATGGCAGCAACAATTGAAGGATTGAACGTTGAGGGGGAAATTGAGAGGGAATTTGGTGGTGCCCAAAACGAAGCTCTCCCAATCTTGGACTCAACTCCCTCTACCCTCAAAATCAAGAGGCTCCATTAACCTCGTATCAAACATTACGATACTACCTACTTATTATTACACCTACTCGTATTGACGTTGTCGATAGATAGTACCAAAATATAGACGCCTCTTTATGAGAACGTCGATTGGGCTAAAAGATTTTGAATGCTTTGAAGCTAGACATGTAAACTTTAAATCAACTAAATTTTATTAGTTGAATTTGGCCGTTGTTGATAGTACCGTACCATAAACACTACTTCTCATAAATATCTTTAAAAAATGTTAAATTATAATTGGCTATTAAAATTTTTGTTGGCTATTAAAATTTTTTATTAATACCTCTATTTAAAAAATTATGTATGAGATGTCCACGGTTTTTTTTCTATGTACAGATAATAAATTTATTTTTGTAAAAAAAGTGAAAATATAATTGGGCTAATAAAAAGTTTTCATTAATATCCAGTATTTAAAAAAATTATTTTATATACCGATAATAAATTTATGGTTAAAAAATATAATTAAAGTATTTAAAAAAATTATCTACCTTCCTTCTATATACGGATAATAAATTTATTTTTATAATAAAAGTAAGAAAAGTTTCATGGATTTTTTTAAAAACACAATACTTGTTGAGAGTATTTTTAAATTCTTTTTAAAAATTAAATAAAACCTCTTAAATTCAAAAATATTTTTTAAATAAAATAATTAAAAGTATACACATATATATTTTTTGTAAGCTCTTCAAAATTTTAAAAGTTTTAAGAGTATTTTCCTTAAATAAAATATAAAATTTATGAATTTCTTTTATTAATTAAGCTTAGTATAAATCTTTTTTTAAAAAGCTTGCTTATTTATTTATGTAGAATTTACCTAAAAAAAATAAAGAGTTTTCTACTAGGCTTTAGGAATAATTTTTGAATTTTATGCCAATAATATGTTAATATACATATTAAAATGGTATAAATCGTGGACATAACTTAACACTAATTATTGACGCTAAAATTTATATTTTAAAACTTAAAAAATCAAAAGAAAATTCTTTAAATGTATGTCCGATTTAAACTATAATTTAATCATTTTCTACTTATCAGTTGGGTTTCTTTCAGATTACTAGTGGGTGAAAAATTCGCGGGCTAGGAGAGGCGGCGGCAGCGACGGGGACGATCCGATTCCCCAATCTGAATCTCGAACTTTTTCCTCACGAAACCACAGCGCTGGTGGCTAATAGTCCGATTCCTAAGTGAAACTCGGTTAGAGACATGGCGTTGAAGTTCTTGAACAAGAAAGGATGGCACACCGGTAGTCTCCGGAACATAGAGAACGTCTGGAAGGCGGAGCAGAAGCACGAGGCCGAGCAGAAGAAGTTGGAAGAGCTCCGTAAACAGATCCATGAGGAGAAGGAGCGCCAAGAGTTTCGTCTTCTTCAAGAACAGGCCGGCCTCGTTCCGTATGTTTTTCCTTTTCTCTTTCTTCCATCTTGTTGTTTACGGATCGAATTGTATATTTTATAGGTAGTCTGTGAGTTTCAAATTCAATTCGATCTCTGAGTAGATAAGGATTGAAAATGTGTCCTCGGTTAGGATTAGGGTTAGGGTTAGGGTCTAATTTGTTCGATCGATTTGGCTAATATTCGGATTTTGGTCAATATGGCGTTTCAGGAAGCAGGAGAGATTGGATTTTCTTTATGAATCGGGTTTGGCAGTCGGGAAAGCCAGCGAGTCCGATGGATTTAAGAGTCTCGAAACCCTACCTAGTACATCTACTCCCGCGGCTTCCTCTGATCCATCTAGTTCCAAGGTACTGTTACTCGTTGTCTCTGTCCTGTTAATTTGTGTACTTTGGCTATGTCTTCGGTGCTCAATCATGATTTTGTTGCATTTTTGTGTTGTTTTACAGGAAGCCGCTGTCCCAGGAGCTCTGTTTGTGGATAAACTTCCTTCTGCTAATGACGCATGGAGGAAGCTTCATTCTGATCCTTTGCTTATCATTCGACAACGTGAGCAACAAGCTCTTGCACGCGTAAAAAACAATCCTATTCAGATGGCTATGATTCGCAAGACTGTAAGTTCCCATTTTTCTTTCTTCCCTGCTGTTTTATTTTCTCCTTTATCGCAAAACAATCCTACAATCCTATTAAGCATTGGCTGTGAAAATTATACGGAAATATTCTTCTTCCATTCATTCTTGTACAGTGAAACTCTCTAAACTTATATGTTAGCTTGTCTATGGACACTTGTTGGTCGTGTAATGAAACAGATTAAGCCCACTGTAAGCAAATATTGTCCGCTTTGACCTGTTACGTATCGTCGTCAGCCTCAAAGTTTTAAAACGCGTCCGCTAGGGAGAGATTTCCACACTCTTATGAAAAAATTACTTTGTTCCCTTTTCCAATCGATGTGAGATCTCAATCCACCCTCTTTCGGGGTCCAGTGCTCTCGTTGGCACTCGTTCCCCTAGCAGATGCGTTTTAAAACCGTGAGACTGACTGCGATACATAACGAGCTAAAGCGGATAATATCTGCTAGCGGTGGGCTTGAGCGGTTACATGCAAGATCTTTCCTCCTTGTTTGATTTGAAGAATTGATTTGAGGGTTTTTTTTTTCTCTCCATACATATTTATAGGTTGAAGGGGAAAAACACAAGGAAAAGAATCCCGATCACAAAAGAGATCGAAAGAAGCACCGACATAGCAAATCTAAACATTTTTCTCCAGAACGAGATCATGATTCTGAAGATGCCAGCCCTGAGAGGCAGAGAAGGAAACATGGTCACGACAAGACTTCAAAACATGATGATAATTCTTACTCCGAAGATAGGAGGAGAACTGATTATAAGAATGAGAGAGATCATAAAGATGATCGCGACAAGAGTTCAAGACATGATGATCATTCTTATCCCGAAGATAGGAGTAGAACTAATTATAAGAATGAGAGGGATCATAAAGACGATCGTGACAAGAGTTCAAGACATGATGATCATTCTTATTCCGAAGATAGGAGGAGAACTGATTATAAGAACGAGAGAGATCATAAAGATGATCGTGACAAGAGTTCAAGACATGATGATCACTCTTATTCAGAAGATAGAAGGAGAAGAAATGATTATAAGAACGAGAGGGACCATGACAGAGGCTCGAAATATGCTGCACAAACGACGTACGATCAGTCAGATCGAAAGTCATCCAAAACCCATTCTCATGATTCTGCAGAGAGATATCATGACAGATCAAAAAGAGAGAGAGATTCTTATGCTAACAACGAAAAGGTGAGCAGAAGAGTGGGGGAATCGAGATCTTATGAACCCAATGCTTCTGAAACTCCTCATGAGTCGCGCCATAAGCACCGTAGGCCTGCTACAAAGCTTTCAGAAGAAGAGCGTGCAGCTAGGCTGCGTGAGATGCAGCAGGATGCCGAGTTACATGAAGAGCAAAGATGGAGGCGTTTGAAGCAGGCAGCTGAGGATGATGCACTGGAAGCCAAACAAAATGCAGCAGTGCCCTCGAGCAAAAATTTCTTGGACGCTGCTCAGAAAAGCATGTATGGTGCCGAGAAGGGAGGAAGCTCAACGATCGAGGAGAGTATTCGTCGTAGGACGTATTATTCACAGGGTAAATCTGATATTGAAGCCAATGCTTTTCGACGGTAATGCACATCACTTATACACTTTGCTTATGGTTATTGTATAACATCCTTTTTTAGTGGTACTGCTGCTGTTAACTCAATGAAGAATTGCTTCTTGAAAACATTTGGAGTTCATGTATTTGTATTATCTTTTCAATCCATTAGTATTACACTTATCTATAGTGAAATTTGTACTAAATTAATGGCAAATTCGTGACATTATGAAACAAAAGTCATTTCATATTACTTTTTGATCTCGTATACATAATTCTTGATGATTTTTTGTCCTATGTCTTTCAGCACCATTTCTCAAGGCTAAATATTCATGTTTTTTTTTTTTTCAAATATCAGAAGGATGGAGTGATAGTATAGTCCACCGTCGATGAAGCCGAAGGAGCTGGAGGCTTTCGATGCATCGGTCGAAAGATCGAGCTGGAGTAATAATATTGCTTTGGTCACTTGAAGGATTAAGACGTGTGGAAATACTCAAGGAAAGCAAAAGTGAACGTAATTTACTAAGTTGTTCCTACTTACAAGCTTAAAACGAATCAGTGCAAAAGAAATAAGACCAACACGTAAAAGTATAGCTACTCTTGTGTGTGGGGCACTAGCATTAGAAGAACAACGCATGTCGGTCTCCCAACTTTGTTAGAATGCATTGTTTGTGTTTTGTTTAGCGCATGAAAATTAAGGTGCAATAAGTTGTCAAAAGTCTAGCCTTTACCTAAAATTTCGTTTCACTGCCTCACTTGTTTTATGTTCGCTTCCTTATTTTATTTTCATCGCAACATATCCAAACTATATTTTTATCTATACTAACTCTAGAGTACACGATCAATATAAGTTTTGATTGTTAAATGTCTAGAATTATTATAATTGTTTTCTTGTGGGTAAATCCTAGAACTTTTCAGGTAGTACTTGTTAGCGTGTTGGTTTATATCTGAGTCGACGTACTGGGTAACTACTACCTTTTGTGTGATGCTATTATTTCATCGCTTCATTTTCTTACCAATTGTAACCGCCTCATCATTACTTTACCACTGCGTAACACCGTGTTCACAACGACGTGTTTGTCCACGTCACCTCTTTAAAATCGTTAGATTTACAATTTCTCTTATATATATATATATTAATATTGTTGGAAGTACTTCACCTTTTAAGATAAGCAATGCAGTGACTAAATGAAGTGTTAACATCTCAGTTAAATGGGCCAGGGTCCACTAGGCCCAGAATGACAGGTCCACATAAAAAGTAAAATATTTGTATTTTCAAATCCCATCCGTGAAGGGGTTGAACTGCGAATATTTAGGAATTTAAGGGAAAATAAGAAATTTCAGAAAGTTCTGTGGTGAAAAACGCGAATTTCAAACATTTTTCTCGTTCTTCAGTTCTACAAATCTTTATTTCATCTTCTGCCTTTTGTCGTCGACTTCATCACTCTCTTCCTTTTCGTCTC